AATATAATCTAGATATAGAATATAATGTAGATATAGAAATATAATCTAGATATAGAAATATAATCTAGATATAGAATATAATGTAGATATAGAATATAATCTAGATATAGAAATATAATCTAGATATAGAATATAATGTAGATATAGAATATAAACTAGATATAGAAATATAATCTAGATATAGAAATATAATCTAGATATAGAAATATAATCTAGATATAGAAATATAATGTAGATATAGAATATAATCTTGGTATAGAATATAATCTAGATATAGAATATAATGTAGATATAGAATATAATCTAGATATAGAAACATAATCTTGATATAGAATATAATCTAGATATAGAATATAATGTACATATAGAATATAATCTTGGTATAGAATATAATCTAGATATAGAATATAATGTAGATATAGAATATAATCTTGATATAGAATATAATCTAGATATAGATTATAATCTTGGTATAGAATATAATCTAGATATAGAATATAATCTAGATATAGAATATAATGTAGATATAGAATATAATCTTGGTATAGAATATAATCTAGATATAGAAATATAATCTTGATATAGAATATAATCTTGATATAGAATATAATCTAGATATAGAAATATAATCTAGATATAGAAATATAATCTAGATATATAATATAATCTAGATATAGAAATATAATCTAGATATAGAAATATAATCTAGATATAGAATATAATCTTGATATAGAATATAATCTAGATATAGAATATAATCTAGATATAGAATATAATGTAGATATAGAATATAATCTTGATATAGAATATAATCTAGATATAAAAATATAATCTAGATATAGAATATAATCTAGATATAGAAATATAATCTAGATATAGAAATATAATCTAGATATAGAATATAATGTAGATATAGAATATAATCTTGATATAGAATATAATCTAGATATAGAATATAATCTTGATATAGAATATAATCTAGATATAGAATATAATCTAGATATAGAATATAATCTAGATATAGAAATATAATCTTGATATAGAACATAATCTAGATATAGAATATAATCTAGATGTAGAAATATAATCTTGATATAGAATATAATCTAGATATAGAAATATAAGTACAGTCCATTTACTATTGTGATCCGTTTTTCGGCGTATTTCTCATCCTGCATATTTTAAGCTATTTCAACAAATCATAAATCAAAACGTTCAGCTCTTTCAGGTGACATTTGGTGTGAGTGAAACTTTATCTTTTTGAAATATTTACTCATATATATATATATATATATATATATATATATACTTATATTTCCTGTCTGCACTCCTTTCTGCTAATCTGCTTTTGTTTTAGGATTCAAGGATTTTTATTGTCGTACCAGTTCACATTTGCATGTGAACGGTACGAAATGAGGACTCGGGTCTCCAGATCAAGACGCCCAACAATCAACAAATAAATAAATACAAGAGTGTATAAATATATACGCGTGCACTCGCACTCAAACGTGTGCGTGTGTGAGTGCGTAAATAAGTAAAGTAAGATGAGGCTGAATTAAGTGCTGCTCTGGATGCTCCTCAGCCTCCTGCTTGAGGAGGGGGGGGGGCACAAGGTGATGCAGGTGCAGACGCTCTCCACCACACAGAGCCCTCCCAGCTCCCGAGTCCAGCTCTCCTCCTTTCACGACACACAGAGTCCCCCCCCCCCCCCCCCGATGGTCACGATCCGCTCCGAACAACTGAAGACCGTTGAGTCCGGCACGTTGTTGTTAAACCAGGCGAAGAACATCACAGTTCTTCATCTCTGTAGAAACACGTCCTCAGATGTTACAAGTCCACTTTGTTATCCGGTCATTGGTCAGATAGAGAGTAGGAATAGGTGTTTTTTTGAGCCTGGGCCAACGCGCCCCCGCTTCCCCCTCCTCCTCCTCCTGACTGTCGCTCCTCGTCCTCACTGCTGCGCCGTCCTCAGGAGCCGCTGTCCGCCGACTGCGGATTTCAGAACTCGACCGAACCGTCTCTGATGGCCATCAGCTCGTTGGAGCTGTAGCGCTTGCTGCTCCGGGTCACGGCTATAGATTGATGTATATTTGGTCACGAGGTGCTCTTGTTTCAACCATTATAGAAACTCTTTGGACAGTGAGCTTCAAAAAAAACAACAGTTTTTGGGATTTTAATCGGTTTGTCGAACAACAAACAATCTTTCACTCTTCAGACTCCACCGGCTTATCTCAGAAACATCTAAATGTATTTTATTAGGAGAGTGATGTCTCTATAACTGGAGCACGCCCTCCAGTCCCCCTTTTTGAAGAGAGGAACACTGCACCAGCCCAGTCTGCCAACCCACTTTCTAATCTAATATTTGTGTGTCAACAGGTTTGGGTCTGACGGTCGGTGTGTGCAGGAGGATCACGTCGCAGCTGATTGGAGCTCTGAGCAAACAAGAAGACGCGTCCGTTCAGTTGGAGGCCCTGGACATCCTGTCGGACATGTTGGGAAGGTAATTATCAGTCCGTTCCCTTGAAGGTGAGGTCCTCGTTACAGGAAGGAGCCCGGCTGCAGGTGCAGTTGAAGCTTCGCAGCTACACGAATAATGTTGTTCATAAAATCTGAGTCGGTAATTTCTCATCTTGCTCGTCCTGCAGGTTGAGCGGCGCTCTGGTCAGTTTTCACGGCTCGCTGCTCTCCAGTCTGCTGCCTCAGGTAAACGGACAAACTCGAGTTGATCTCGTGTCCTTCCCTAAAGCACTGCTGCGTTTACTGACACGAACGAGAAGCTTTTCAGTCGGAAGGTATAACAAAATGCTGCCTAAAAAACAAGAAAACGATCTAAAATCTAATCGAAATCAACATTTAAAAGACATTTTGTCAGTTTTGTGAGATGAGCCGTGGAAAAAATCTGCCTTTCATAGCTGCGTTTTATAACTTAATGTTTTTTTGTAATGTTTGTGGCACGTTTAGTCAAAACGCTAAACGATTAGAAGACGCTGAGGTTGTTGTTGAGACAGTTTTGAGAAAAAGGGACTAACCTGTTTAAATAAAGGTTAAATAAAAAAAAGTACCAGAAAGAAGCTTAACCTACGATAAGGAAGTAGAAAGGGCTGAAATGAGCTAAAAGAAATGTGGAATTAGTTGAAAAAGCTAAAATGAGCATTAAACAGCTAAAAAGTAGCTGAAATAGCAGAAAAAGCTGAATCTAGCTGAAAATAGCTGAAAGGAGCATAATAAGCGGAAATTATCATAAAGTAGAGCTGTCATTTCTAACCTGAGCCCTAAGATTGGCCCGAAGTCAGAGCGGGTCAGGGCGGTGTAGGGCTTTTAATTGGGCCAAGATCAGCTACGATCCAATTATATGATAGCATGGCCTGCCATACAATCACCAGCCGCACACGGCCATTTCACCGCGAGCTGACCGGCCTTGAAAGAGTAAAAAGTTCAGTTAAGCTTCAGATGGGACTGTTCTGCCAGGAAGTGATCCATCGCCCAAATGGACGTTCATTCAGCCGCTTCACTCAGCGGACGCGGCCGATGACCCAAACAGGTGAGATCCCAAAGCAGACACGTGTGTCAGAGCTGTCTGCAGAAGAATGCAGCAGAAACGGGGTTTAAATGCTTTTTTTATGGCCATGAAAGGACAAACACCCCCTCAGCTCCGATCTTCTGCACTTTTTATTCAGCTGCGCGTCCACGGCCGTTAATAACTAATTAAAAATGTCGGGCTCTTTTCCGGGTTCGGACCTGTAATTACTGTTTATTTGTCGGGTCGGGTGGGATTTGGAAATTATAACTGCAGGCTGGGGCCGGGTCGGATAGGATTTTTTGGGTCTACCATAAAGAAGTTAATTAGGCTGAAAATAGCAGAAATTGCCACAAAAAACTTGAATTTATCTGAAAACAGCTGAAAGTAGCTAAAATTTTTTCTAAAAACTTAGCTGAAAAAGTTGAACAAGTTTAAATTAGCAGAAGAAAGCAGAAAGAACATGTTTGCCCAATTAGGCTGAAAGAAGCCGAAATGAGCAAAGAAAGTAGAAATTATCTGAAAAAAGCTGAAATTAACAAAAGAACAGCTGAAAAGTAGCTAAAGACAGAAATAAACTGCAGTTACAAGAAAGAAGTGGAGAGAGCACATTTTTGCTGAATTAGCACGAAAAGTGTTGAAATGAGTGCAAAAAATGTGGAATTAGCTGACAAAGCTTAAATTAGCATGAAAACAGCTGTATATTAGCTGAAATAGCAGAAGAAGCTGAAACTAGCAGAAATAAGCAGAAAGGAGGATAACTGGCTGAAATTAGCAGAAATAAATTAGAAGCACAAAAATGTAGTTAGAACGAATCTGAAAGGAACAAAAAACAGCTGAAAGTAGCTGAAAAAATGTTTAAATTTGCAGAAGGAAGCTGAAAGAAGCTGAAGCAGAACAAAATGTGAAAGGAGCGGTAAAAGCTTGTAAACATATTTAAAGATTTGAAGGATGTAAAATGAGCTCAGTTCATTTTCTATGAAGAAAAAAGTGTCAGAAAAGGCTAAATATTTCAAAAAGCCAAAGTTGCACCAACAGTCAGGATTGTCCTGAAAGAGCTGAACCTTTTGATATGATTTGCTGAAAAAGCACAAAAATTGTGGAACGAGAAAAATGCTGAAAGTCGTACAGAAGAAAAATCACAATTGAGTGAATGCTCCATAAACATTCAGACTATCAGGAATGTGTTCAAGGCTTTAAATTCTTAAACATCAAGTTGTTTTCAGCTCCATTTAACTTTTCTGCGTTTAGTTTCTTAATTGATCATTTTTAAATGTTAAAATAAACCAAAAATAAATTTAGTTTCGGTTTTAGTTATTCCATCATTTTCACCTTAAACCTCCCTCAGCTAACCAGCTCCAGGATGGCGGTCAGGAAGCGCTCCATCTTGGCCCTGGGTCACCTGGTGCCCTGCTGTAGCCCCGCCCTCTTCTCCCAGCTGACTGAGCACCTGGTGAGCGAGCTGGCTAAGAACCCGCAGACCTCAATGACGAGGACGTACATCCAGTGCCTGGCGACCGTCAGCCGGCAGGGCGGCCATCGAGTCGGTGAGATGACATCCAGCGTCAAACGGGAAAACGTCCTTAAATAAATCTAAGCGGGTGGAGTCAGGTCATCTGGACGGGTTCTTCTTATTTAATCCAAAAGACTTGTTCAGTCTGAGGAGCTGCAACAAACTCCGGCTTCTCAGCAGCACGTCCTCATAAAGTCGAGCACTTCCTGTTTATGATCATTGAAGACGGATCCCGCTCGTTTAAATTAGATAAATTTGTGTTTAAGTTGACTGTAGCTGCAGTCTCCTTCACCTTTTGTTGGTTTTACAGGTGAACACTTAGAGAGGCTCACCCCTCTGGTGGTGAAGTTCACTGGCGTTGAAGACGACGAGTTGAGAGAATATTGTTTCCAGGCCTTGGAAGCTTTTATACGAAGGTAAAACTCTCAGCCGTGTTAGGAAACATCAAGCGGACTTCCGTCCATGTCTTCTGTCTGATAATAAAATATAAGGACTGGTCACCACGAGGAGCAGAACCGAGCTCAGAGTCAAACAAACGGATCTGATGATAATCTGCAGCTTGTAATTTACAGACAGAACGTCTCCGTTACAACACAGATTAGAAGCAGACTGAAATATTATCAACAGACAAAAAGTTGTTCTCTTGATTAAAAAAAAAAAGAACATGGTGTCAGGAGAACCCTTTACAGATGTATCCAGATGTTTGTTTTCTCATGTGTGGCTCAGAATTGGACATCACGGTGAGGAAGAGTTCTTAAAGCCGAACATCTCGCCTAGGCCTGTCACGATAACAGATTTTACCGAGCGATTAATTGTCTCAGAAATTATTGCGATAAACGATAATATTGTTTGAAATTTGACAGTAATTTGTTTTGCATGCAGTACCTTTTCTCAACCACTGGATGGCAAAATAAGACTGTTTGAACCGAAGGATGGATAGTGAGGGAGCGAGCAGCGTGTCTCTAAGAAATATGTGAGGGAGGCGCTTTGGAGCTTTGACAAGACGGAGGTTTTTCCTGACGTCGGTCTGTTAGCTTAGCTCGTAGCTTAACTTCTTTAATGATCCAAAACCACGATTTTGGATCATTAAAATGGATTTTAAAGAGAAAGGGCGGGGTCAGTGAAGAGCACCGGAGTTGAACTTTTTGTCATCCAGTGTCTTCAGGAGAAAGAGAGAGACACGAAGAAACGATAAAGCCGATAAATGAAAATGAGGTTGATAATTTTCATTCATCATGCGATTAATTGATCAATTGATTTATTGTTTATTGCGACAGGCCTAATATCACCTGATTACAAAAATACAATTCGGTAAATGTTATTTTATTACTGTTTTTTCTGGCGTATAAGTCGCATCAGTCAACAAAAAAAAAGCATCATGAAGAGGAAATAAACATTTAAGTCACTTCGGCGTATAAGTCGCATTTATTATACGTTTATTTAATGGTCAAAACAGCTTAATTTCGCCTGGGCGGCGTGGTGCCATCCATCCATCCATCCATCCATCCATCCATCCATCCATCCATCCATCCATCCATCCATCCATCCATCCATCCATCCATCACGGCCGGGGTCGCGAGCTCTCCAGCGTTCCTCCGCCTGCACCAGCTGACTGAAGTGAGCGTGCACGTGAGGACTCGCTGTTTCAGTTCTTCGAAAGTTAAAGCGTCAAAAATTGCGTTTGAATATGAAAAAAAAAAAAACGCATATAAGTCGCAGGACTGACAAATCTATGCAAAAAAAACCCGTTTATTTATATGCCGGAAAATACGGTATATATAATATATAATGTCAGGATAAGGTTTGTTTATTAAAATTAAAAAGTTAAATGTTTTTTTAAAACTGGCATTGCAGGACATTTTTTGCAGTTATTTAAAAATCTTGTTTTTACTGTTTCTCTCTTAATTTTTTTCTGTCTGCTGTTGGTCAGGTGTCCAAAGGAGATGTCGCCTCACGTTGCCACGGTGACTCAGCTCTGTCTGAAGTTCATGACCTTTGACCCAAACTACAACGATGACGACAGCGAGGAGGACGAGGAGGACAGCATGGACGTAGAGGACGGACTTGACGAAGGTTTCTGAGACTCGTCCACGTGTCTGTTCTTGTATCGGGTCGGGATCTTTGTGTACCTGAAGCTGATGTTCAAGAAGGAAACTAAAAATGACGAAGTCTTCTGAAGCGTTCGTGCCACGAGATTTTATTCCTCATGGTCTTCGCCGCGGCTGTCGTGTCTGTTTGTTTTGAGGAATGACGGTTTAATCTGACGTCCTGCCTCCGTCCAGAATCAGACGACGAGTACAGCGACGACGACGACATGAGCTGGAAGGTTCGCCGTTCTGCAGTCAAGTGTCTGGAGGCGCTGATCGCCATGCGCCGGGACCTCCTGCTCTCCTTCTACTCCTCTGTCTGCCCCGCCCTGCTGGCCCGCTTCAAGGAGCGCGAGGAGAACGTGAGGGCCGACGTGTTCGCTGCCTTCTCAACGCTGCTGAGGCAAACCCGCGTGGACTTGAGTCACCACGGCCTCGTCACGGCCGCTTCAGACCCGAGCCGTCGGGAGGAGGAACCGGCGGTCGCTCAGCTGAAGAAACAGGTCCTGGTTCTGTCCATAACTCCAAAAAGAACATGTTAGAACGTCTCTCCTGTGCTTTTAGTGTAAAACTCAGACATTTCATTTTTGGCTACATGAAGTTTTTACATTGTTTCTCTAAAGTCAGTATTTTTTTTATTTATTTAGCACCTTTTAAAAACCAAGTTGCAACAAGCTGTGCATCAAATAAAGTGCACATCAAAACAAGCAATCATAAAATAAGAACAAAAGCAACAAATAAGAGGAAAACAGTAACTTTAAAACACTGAAAATGCATAAAATGTATAAAAGTGACGTGTGAAGCACAGAAGCTTTTAGAGAAAAGGCAGATTTTCAGGTGCATTTTAATCTTCGACATTTTGCTGAAATCAGCTGATGTTTTTGACTAAAACTTGCAATTAATTAATTTTCTCTAAGTTGAATTTGAATCATTTCAAATCTTAAAAACTGTTTTTCCCCACAGATATTTGGTTCTGCTAGAAGTCTTCTCAAAATGTACCTAGAATTAACGGCTTCGGGCTTCATATGTATTAAAAATAAATCGATAATATTAAATCTCTCTTTTCGTTCGGAGAGAAACGTGTAAAGATGCGTCCATCTCCACGTTCAGGTTCCGGTGATCGTTAAAGCTCTGCACAGACTGCTGAAGGAGAAGAGCTTCAAGTCTCGACAGGGATGCTTCTGTCTCCTCACAGAGCTGGCTCACACGGTTCCTGGATCCCTGGAGGAGCACATACCTGCACTAATACCTGGTACCCCCCGCCCCCCACACCTGGTTTACATTTTGTCCTACCTCCTTTGGTTTTCATTTTGAATCAGTTCTTACAAAATAGACACGCTTGTCTGTCGTCGTGTTTTCTTTCCTCTTTTCTTCCTCATTTTTTCTCTTTTCCTCTTCATCCCTCCACCATTCTCTCCTCCAGGCATCATCTTCTCCCTGACAGACAAGTTCACCTCCTCCACCATGAGGATCGATGCTCTCTCCTTCCTCAACGTCCTCCTCCTCTCCCTCCCTCCGCAGGCCTTTCAGACACACGTGCAGGTTTTTCCAACCTTCAACATTGTTAAAAACAAACAAACAAACTTGAAGACAGAACATTTTTAATTCAGATGGTGGAGTATCATCATCATCATCACTTTTATTGTCCCCTTAGGGGAATTTTCCTTGCAGCAAGGTGGCGAGAAAACTAAAATACAGCACATAAACAGTCACACCACAAAATTGGCAAACAGTAAAAATCCATGTACAAATATCAATAAAACAAGCTGAACAACAACAACAAGCCTGGTTACATTTAAAATGTATCCGATCAGATTTATCTGTCCTCTTCCACCTCTGAAGAAATATAAAGTAAAACAGCTTTGGAGTTATTCACATGAATAGAATACGACAGTTCCAAGTTAAAGCTCAGGTCTCTGAGCAAACAAAGAATCTTCAGATTCTGGTTGTGGAATAGCTGGGACTGTCTTGTGGCTCCTGCAGGTTCTGCTGCCCGTGGTCTTGTCGTGTGTCGAGGACACTTTCTATAAGATCACCTCGGAGGCCCTGCTGGTCACTCAGCAGCTCATCAAAGTCATGAGACCACAGGGACAGACGGACACTTCTGGAGGATTTGACCCCAAACCGTTCGTCAAAGAGGTACTGAAGGATTCTTTCAGCTGTCTTCTATATGCTTCATTTTTATTTGCAGGAGTTCTATAAATGAGTTACCCAAACTCTTTCAGTAGAAATGAGCAGGAGTTAGTTTCCTTCAGAATATCAGTTTTAAAATAAAGTCAACTTTATTTATAAAGCGCATTTAAAACAGCAGCTGTTACCAAAGTGCTTAACAGTAAAATCAATGGGAGCAATTTCATGGGAAAAAAGTAACAATAAAAATAATGATAGTACTGAAAATTAATTACAAGCATCAAAAGAAAAACAGAAATGCAGAGAAGTAAAATATTAAATCAAGTCACGCTGTGTAAAAAGCCACGAAAACAGAGATTTAAAAGCAGGAAGTGAAGAGGCCTGTCTATGTTGGGGGGGCAGATTGTTCCAAAGTTCGGGACCCACGACTGAAAAAGCCAGATCACCTCTGAGCTTCAACCTTGTTTTTGGAACAGCCAAAATCAGCTGATCGGATAATGCAGGACCCGATAAGGAACATATGGTTGCAGTAGGTCAGGGAGGTATGAGAGTGCAAGGCCATTTAGACACTTAAAGGTTAGTAGGAAAATTTTAAGATCAATTCATGGAGCCAGTGAAAGGAGGACAAAACTGGTGTAACGTGATCAAAACTACGAGTTCCTGTTGAGTCGAGCTGCAGCATTTTGGACATGAAATTGTGACTTGACTGACCCCAACATAGATCTTAAACCATCTTGAGATTTGTAACAGACTGCTTAAGATATGGCTCAAGAGAGTCAAGGTTTACTGGAACAGAGACTGCAGTAGAGCTAGGGCTAAACTCAATAACTTCAGTTTTCTGATTGTTGAAACTTAAAAAGTATGAATTCATGCCTTGATGTCATAAAGACATTTTAATGGGGTGAATGGAGCAAGAACTATTAGGTTTTAAGGGCAGGTAAATTTGACAATCATCAGCATAACAATGAAATGAAAGACCATGTTTCCTTAGGATGAAAAGGGGGTCCAAGAATCAAGCCCTGTGGGACCCCACAGGAAACAGGCAATGATGCAGATACACTATTTCTAACCTTAACACAGAAACTCCTGTCACTTAGGTAAGAATGGAACCATTCTAATTCTGCACCAGTAATCCCAACCCAGTGTTCTAACTCGTTATAAGGATACTGTGGTCAACAGTATCAAAAGCAGCGATAAGGTCCAGGAGTACAAGTATCACACAAAATAAAGTAAATTATAAATTCTTACAGGCTTTATTAGCATTTCTTTAGTTAAAGTGTCTGTTGATGTTGTTTTTTTGCCTTATTTGGATCCAGACAGGTTTTATTTTCTCACCTGTTCTTCATAATGTTTTTGTCCCTCCCAGGTGTTTTCAGTCACAATGAAAAGGCTCAAAGCTGCAGACATCGACCAGGAAGTGAAGGAAAGAGCCATTTCCTGTATGGGCCACATGGTGTGCCACCTTGGGGACCACCTGGGCGCAGAGCTTCATGGAGTCTTGACGATCTTTTTGGAGAGATTAAAGAATGAGATAACCAGACTGACGGCAGTTAGAACCATCACTTTGATTTCTGCTTCCCCGTTAAAGGTTCAGTAAGACATTTTTTTTCTGCCTCTCATTGGAGTGTTTTTAATAAAAACATAAAATTAACTTCTGTCCCTCTTCAGATAGACCTGTCACCCATCCTCCCGGAGGCCCTGTCTGTTTTGGGGTCTTTCTTGAGGAAGAACCAGCGAGCTCTGAAGCTCGGCACGTTGGCGTGTCTCACAGCTCTGGTCATTCATCACGCTGCCAGAATCAAACCTGCAGCTCTGGAGCCGGTGCTGAATGAGATTCCCCCTCTGGTGGATGAGAGTGACATGCACGTATCACAGGTATGATTAACCACATCCTCAAAGGGATTTTATATGTTGTATGGAGCACCTATGAGCAATAAGTATCTCACCTGCAGTCAGAAGGGCACATAAGGGACTGGGGGATCTTAACCCAATCCAAGATGGCTGCCACAGCTAATCAACCTTGAAAATTGGCAACAACTCAGTGAATTTTACAGATATTGAGCTTCAGCGTAATGTAGTACTGAATGTCATTTATAGCTAAGTGCTATACATCAGTATTATGCATAACGTTAATGTAGTTTTCTATTTTTCATCATAACATGATTTTAGTGTAAAACATTAATGCTAGACTGAATGGAGTAGGAGTTAGTAGGAGAGATCATCTCTCTCCAGTTTTAGCTTCTCTCCATTGGCTCCCTGTCAAATTCAGAATTTAATTCAAAACCCTACTTCTAACCTACAAAGCCCTCAACAACCTAGCTCCATCTTACATTACATATCTTACTGTTCCATATTTTCCCAACAGAGCACTTTGCTCTCAAACTGCAGGCTTACTTGTGGTTCCTAGAGTTTCTAAAAGCAGAATGGGAGGAAGATCTTTCAGTTTTTAGGCTCCTCTCTTGTGGAACCAACTTCCAGTTTCTGTCCGTGAGGCTGACACGTTGTCCAGTTTTAAGACTTTCCTTTTTGATAAATCCTATAGTTAGGGTTGGCTTGTTATGCTGCTATAGGTTTAGACTACTGGAGGACAAATTGACCTAATTTTTTCAAATGAATAGTTACAAATGCATATTGAATAGTTTGCATTTGAAATTATTTCTACCTTAACGTGACTCCCGACCTGCCATTGTGTATCTGTTCCTCTCAAACCCAGCTGGTTGAAGCAGATGACCACTTGTCCTGGTTCTACTAAAGGTTTCTTCCTCATGAGGGAGTTTTTCCTTTCCACTGTCGCCTTCATGCTCAAGATAAGAGTTCTGTAATGGAGTTAAACTCAAAGCAGTCTGCTCCTCAGATAAATAATGTTAAATTATTTTTTACATATGTGAGTGTTTCTGTTCAGTGCCCTGAGACGACTTCTGTTGTGACTTGGCGCTATATCAATAAACTGAATTGCATTGCTTGACTGATGTTAGCATCAATGCTACTTTCTTTATTTTATTAGGCTTCATTGCTGCTATTTGGGCAGAAAACAGTCACGGACTGACGTGCTTTACTTGATACCAAATAAGAGTTTGAACCAGCATGAAGCCATGATAATTCTTGACTAAAGTACTGAGAAAGGATGTTTAAATCATCCTGTGAGACACTCCACATGTTTCTGTTCAGGTGTCCATCACTTTGCTGACGGTCATGGCCAAAGCCTTCTCCTCCTCTCTGGCCAAGATCAGCTCATCTGTGCTGCCAGGAGTCTTCAGACTCATCCACTCCCCTCTGCTGCAGGGTGGCGCTCTGGGAGCCATTCTGGACTTCCTTCAGGCCCTGGTTCTGTCCAAAGCCACTAACCTGGGCTACAGGTGAGACGTTGCGATACGGCGAGTTCAACCTTTGAAACTAGGACCAGCGCTGCAGTCGGGTCAGCAAGTATCTGGTGGGAAAGCAGTTCAGAGTTGATAACTGATCATGTTTTGGTTGACCCACGAGGGTTTATAATTGCTGATGATAATCGGGTTGTTTCAGAGCTGGCGTAGCAAATAATAACCAGCAGTTTGGAAACACAATCATGTAAAAACGTGGTGTTTCCCTCAGGCTCGTAAACAGCTGTTACTTCATCAGGAGACGTGAAAACCTTCCAAAACTCACAACGCTAAACTCACTTTAGGTGATTAAAAGCCATTATATTATCTTTCAAAACATGAAAACAGCAGAGGGAAACCAGACCAGAGCTCCCCTCGCGTCACCAGAACAGATTAAATCACGTCTCGGGTGTGCGGACGTCACTCCGAGTCACATCTGAGTCAGCTCTGCCGTGTTATTTTAAGAAATCAATGATGACAGGATTACAGTTTTTAAGGGGAACTCCACAAATTCCAGTTCTCTAATCACAGGCAGTGATGCTCAGTCTGGTGAGCGTGCTGTAATGTCTTCTGTGGTTCTCCAGGACTTCTGCTCGTTTTGAGTTGACGTATGACTCGAGCAGATGATATCTCACCTTCGGACTAGCCCTGGGTCTTGGCCTCGCGTGGTGGCAGGAAAGCCGATCCCCTTCTCTGGAGGCTCAGACGGTTTTTGTTGGACGCTTTCGATGACATCAGGACGATACGTCCGATGAGATCGGGCTCCTCAGACGTGTGCAGAACAGGTTTATCTGTGGTTCTGTTGTGACAGGAGAGCAACAGTTTCTCTGGACGAAGCACAACAAAGAGTTCACTCCTTTGGAAAAAGGGAATAATCTAGCCGTGCTGCTGAGGGTGAAAGGCGAGGATGTTTATGCATCTGTAGCGTTAGCAAAATATCTCATGAACCTGAAAGTTCACTGAAAGGAGTCATTGGATGGACAACTCATTAACTTTTCAAGATGGTGTGACCTTAGGAAACACAAAATTGGCTTTAATGCAGTATCTTTTATAGATATTGGCATACAACTTGGGGTGGTAGTAGATGAGAGTCATCCTGTCTATGACTGATCTTATTGCTTAATATTGTGCATGATGTCATTTACAGTGTTTGACCAAACGTTCTAACCCCTCTCTTTTCAGCAAAATATAATTTCAGCTTGCAATTGGCACAAAAGGCAGCGGGCGATGTGCAGTTCTTCAAGGAACGTGCAAATAACATTTTCCTCTCGACATGTTTCAGATTTAGTTTCAGAAGCCGTGCTGCAGTATTTTATTCAGAATCATGTACACTGAAGAAGAGCGCCATAGTTTGAGCAAACTGTTGCCATCAGACGTTAGACGTTTGAGTTTATCTGTTGGATAAATAAATATCCTTTCATCATCATTTACTCAAATAAGCCACTCTGAGGATGTGAGAAGATTTTTAACCGGTCTTTACTCGCAAAGGTAGACGGTCACGATAAGGCTTTCACAGATGTACAAAAGTTACATGCTTAGAGCCTCGTCAGTGAGAATCTGCAACCGGGCAGTGAAACAGGAAGTGTTTTATAATACACGCTTTTCAGACAGAGGCGAGGTCAAGACGACCTCGGCTTTCCAGCTTGCAGACGAGGAGAAGGCCTTGGAGTTATCACACACACGGCTCAACATTAATTTAACATTAGTTAGTGATAAACATCCATAACCTTTACCTAAATTCCCTTGACATTATCATTCTGGTGGAATATTTCTCTCCAGTCAGTTGCTGAAGTCTCTCATGGAGCCTTTTCAAAGCGTGAAGTCGTCTGCAGACAGCAGCGTCCTGCACAGACAGTCCTACCACTCCGTCGCTCGCTGTGTGGCCGCTCTGTCCTCAGCTTCGCCCAGAGACACGCCGAGCACCGTCAGTGCGCTCATACAGCAGGTCTGAGGCTCTTTGTGCTCATCGTATAGTTTCAGCTTCAGATCAGAACAAACCTGTTATTAGCACTGACTTTATCTGTCGTTGTTGATAAATTAATGTGCATTTGTGTCATCAACAGATAAAGAATCCTGGATCTCCAGAGTCGGCCCGAGTCCTGGCTCTGCTGTGTCTGGGGGAGGTGGGGAGGAGCGGCAGTCTGGGAGGGAGCAAGGAGGTGCAAGGAGTCATCCTGGAGGCCTTTTCCTCCACCAGCGAGGAGGTAAAACTGCTAAATAATAATTTATAATAATTATCTTATCAAATATTTTCACAGTTTATAGATTGAAAGTTTAAAACATGAAACAAATGTTTTTTTTTAAAGAATGATTTGTTTATTCTTCAATTAAATGCTTTATAGAACCAATCTACTTTTTTAGTTATTTGCAGAGCAATAAGTATTTTATTACCGTACTTGCCGCCGTATAAGTCGCATCAGTCCAAATATGTCTAATAAAGTGGAAAAATAAACCATAAATACGTTGCTTCACCGTATAAGTTGCATCTATTATGCATAACCGCTGATGCGTCGTGTTTGTTATGCATCACCACTGACCACCCGTAAAGGTGGGCCGGTGTTGTGCCAGAAATCGACAGGCTGCCAAATGGCGGCCGCGAGAGCGTGCACGGGAGGACTTTAACAAGAATTTAACAAGATTAACACAAAAAAAAAACAATTATTTGTTTGCTCAAAATTATATCAAAGTTGTGTCTCAGTTTAATTTGTCCTTAGTCACAATAACAAATTTTGCTGAGTGATTAATTGTCTCAGAAATTATTGCGATAAACGATAATATTGATAGATTTTATTTTATTGACAATCAGTAATTATTGTCAAATTTAAGAAGAAATGTTTTAATTTGTTTTGCATGTAGTCTCTTTTTTCGACCACCAGATGGCAATATAAGACAGTTTGAACCGAAGGCGTTCAAGGAGTTCACAAGTAAGGGAGCAGCGTGTCTCTTTAAGAAAAATGGGAGGGAGACCTCTTGACGTGACATGGGCTGTCTCTCTGCGGTTCTCAAAATGGCGGACGATCGGTGTGGTTTGAGCTCTATAGCATAGCATTTTTCACACAAAGCTTTTAATGAAAAGTCTGTAAACAAGTTCTCGGCTTCTTTTTGTAGAGAAAAACTTCTTACACAAAATCACGTGTTTTTTCCCGAGGTGGGCCTGTTAGCTTAACTCGTAGCTTAGCTTCTCAGATTAGCTGCTTTTAGCAATCCAAAAATGCGATTTTGTACGGATAAAATGCATTTTAAAGAGAAAGGGAGGGGTCAGTGAAGAGCACCGGAGTTGAGTCTTTTGTCATCCAGTGTAGAAGGAGAGAGACACGAAGAAACGATAAAGCCGATAAATAAAAATGAGGTTGATAATTTTTATTCGTCATGCGATTAATTGATTTATTGTTTATTGCGACAGGCCTACTTGTCCTTAATAAATACACTTTAATGATCAATTCAGCTGCATTTCAAAAGCCAATTCACGGCTGCGCGAGCGCGCAGAGGGAGGACTCGCTGTGCATTTCTTCGAAATTTAACAAGATTACCACCTAAAAACAATTATTTGTTTGCTCGAAATTATTGTGTGTCTCAGTTGAATTTTTCCTTAATAAATGCAATTTAACGATCAAATCAGTTGCATTTCGCCTGGGCGGTGCTCAAGTTGCAGCTGATTTGACGTTTGGTCCAGGAGTTCCGGAGCGAGACGAAGGTGGCTTGGTATGGCAAGCCAAGTGTCTCATTAATAGCCACTTTTACCTATTAATGAAACACTTGGCTTGCCATATTAGTCGAGGGCCCTCTAGCAGCTGAAAATGGTAGTGTTCAATATTTTCCATGTCAGAATGAATGAAATCGTCAGATCTCAGCCAAAAATTGGGTTAAAATATGGGACAAAAAACATAAATATGTTGCGTTGCTGTACAAGTCGCAGTGAAAACCAATTTATGCAAAAAAACCTGCGACTTATACAGCGAAAAGTACGATTCTACTATTAATGGATTTTTGGTGATTTTTATTTAACAAGTTCAAAACCCTTAAAATGAATTCTTATGTCTTACATTTTATTTAGACAGTTGTTGCTTCTTTCACACACTTCGTTACCAATCATGACGAGCGATGCTACACATTGTTTAAACTTAATAAATTATCATTAAATTTAGATAAAACTAAATACATGATATTTAGTAACAAAAAGAGAACAGTTGATGATCCATTTAAAATTGAGGGTGTTGAGATTTGTAGAGTTGATGAGATGAAATTTTTGGGTGTAATCATTGATGAACAGCTAACATGGAAAAATCACATAAATTCTGTAAGAACAAAAATATCTAAATCTATTGCAGTACTATACAAAGTCAGGGAATTATTAAATGATAAAGCTCTGTACATGTTGTATAACACAATCATTGTTCCACATTTAATCTATTGCATTGATGTTTGGGGGAAAGCATGTAAAACATTTACAAAACCTATTTTTATTTTACAGAAAAGAGCTGTAAGAATTATCACCAGAAAGCATTACAGTCACCCATCAAGCACATTATTTTATCAACTGAAGTTATTGAAGTTCCATGATTTAGTAGATTATAGTATTTTATCAGTTATGTATAGGGCTCAAAATAACACATTACCATTAAATATCCAAAGAAATTTTATTAAAAGACAAAGTTGTTACAATCTTAAGGGGATAGAGATATTTGTCAAACCAAAATTCAGAACTAGTCTGAAGGGAAGGTCTACCTCAATCCAAGGAGTTGGATTGTGGAATGGTCTAGAGAGTGATGTGAAAAATGTCAAGTCAATGTGTACATTTAAGAAAAAGATCAAAACTGAATTGTTAAAAAAGTATATATGAAGTAGCTTAGTGTGTGTTTTGTATTAGAATTAGAAAAATTAGAAAGTTATTAATTTTGTTCTGTTACTTGAAAATTAATATGTCTGAAATAATTGTTTGAAAAAAGGGGCAGATAAAATAAGATTTTTTCTTCTTTCTGCTGCCTTTCATTTTAATTTTTTTTGTATCTTTTTATATATTGTTATGGAATTGTTTTGTACTTTTTTAAAATGAATAAACTTCATACCATACCATACCATTGTCACTGCACTCACACCTTGTTTCTCCAAAAACACTACTTTTAAGGACATAAGGTAAAACAGTTTTCTTTTTATAAAACAAACTATTGTTAAATGTTCACAGGGCCTTTGTAAAACTTTCAACTGGTTAGTTATCCATAAAACAAGAGGTGAAGTGTGACCAGTAGAGTTGATTTATGCATTAAAAACATGAAAATCATTAAAAATGGAGATGTCAGTTTGTGGAGATGTGAATGTATAAGAACGTGTAGGTTCCTGATACATTCTCTGACATGGCTGTAGACGACAGTGTTTGTTTTTGTTTCTAGATAAAGACGGCAGCCTCGTGCGCGTTAGGCGGCGTGGCAGTCGGTAGTCTGAACGAGTACCTGCCCTTCGTCCTGAAGGAGGTTTTAGCTCAGCCTCGAAGACAATACCTGCTGCTGCACTCGCTCAAAGACGTCATCAGGTGCGTCTTCACTGGTTGTTACACCTCCAGCATCTTGTTAACGCTGTCATCACTCCAGGTTATCGTCATTTTAAATTATTTTACAGACCAACTTTTTATATTATGTGGTCTGACGACTCCTGAATACTTTTGGATGTCTTAGCGATTTAGCAAAACATTCAGCCCAACGAGGAGATGAATGGGTTAACTTTTAGTTTAATTTATTTTATAATTTTCAAAATATTTAACTTCATTTATTATATTATTACTTATTTCTTCGTAGAAATACTTTGATATCTCTGAAATCCATTAGAAACGTTGTTCCCGTTGAAACCTGCTTCAGTTTACGGGCTCTATATTTGTTTTCTTATGTTCTTTAAGGTCTTCTGTTAACTTTAGCTACTAACTATTGTTTAGCTACTTTTAGTTTTTAGCTCCTGTTCTGCTACTCTTAGTTTTAGCTAGTCTTAGCTATTTTTAGCTTCTAGCTACAGTTCTGCAAGTTTTAGCTTTTAGCCATCCTTTGCTGCATTTACTTAGCTTTTTTACTACATTTAGCTTTTAGTTTGAAATTTTTCTTTTTAACTAGTTTTGTTTTTCCATCTAGTGTTAAGCTTTTGCCTATTGCTCTGCCTCTTTTAGCTTTTAGCTAATATTTTGCTTTAACAACTCAGTTTCAGCTTCTTCAGGATGTTTCAGCAGAAATTCAGCTCTCAGTGTTCGCACAGTATTTTCTGTAAAAATGCACATTGTCTAGTTTCTAAAAGAAAACTTGATTTTTTTTAATCAATCTGGCTTCGTGTTCTGATTGAAGCTCTTTCTGTGTTCAGCTCCTCTCCAGCCTCCAGCCTCTCCCCTCTCGTAGAGTCCATCTGGGCTCTGCTGGTCCAGCTCTGTGAGTGTTCGGAGGAGGGAACCAGGAACCTGGTGGCTGAATGTTTGGGAAAACTGACGTTAGTCACCCCAGCACAACTTCTGCCCAGACTAAGACAACAACTTAAATCTGGTAGGGTGCAGGTTGAAAGCATTTTTAACTTTCATTGCAGTCAAGTTGTAAAAAAAGTATTTTCTTGGCATTTCAACTTTGTTTATTCGTGCACTATTGTACCCAATTTGAAACCCTAATTTGTTTTTTTTAATGTAAAACATAAAATCAAATATATCCAACAATTTTCAGTCAGGTCATCTGGACAGTTTCTTTTTTGCTGAAACGTTTCACCTTCCATCCAGAAGGCTTCTTCAGTCAAGGAAACGCACAACACAAAACTGATTCTTCCCCCAACAGCTTACTCCAAAGTGGAACAAACCAGTTATGTTGGTGCTAAAATCAAATATACTGATGACAGAAATGAAGTTGGAGAGTTAACATTAAATGGTACTTCTTCCAGTTATCTAACTGTTAACAATGGTGTACCACAAGGTTCAGTCTTAGGACTCACCCTCTTCACAATCTACCTAAGTAATGTAGATCAGATAATTCCTGATGCATCCTTACATTTCTATGCCGACGACACAGTTGTTTATTATCGAGCTAAAACAGTTGCTGTTTTTACAGCTTTTACAGTCTGGATTTGACATCATCCAGTCAGATTTGTTCTGTCTCAAACTGGTGCTAAACACTGACAAAACCAAAGGGATGTTGTTTTCAAACAGGAAGTTGGTCCCAGCAGTCCTTCCTTTTATTTTCTCTTCAAATGGTATTCCTATTGAGTTGATCAATTCTTATAAATACTAGAGTATCTTGGTTGATTCACATCTTTTAAGCCCCACATCGAAAACTTGGTAAGGAAACTGAAAGTTAAACTGGGTTTCTTTTTCAGAAACAGATCCTATCTAACTCTGAATGTTAGGAAACACCTTGTATATGTGACCTTCCTTCCCTCCATTGATTACGGTGACATTATTTACATGAACGCTCCTACAAGAACCCTGCAGATGTTGGACTCCGTCTATCATGATACACTAAGATTATAACTGGCTGTAACTACCGTACCCACCACTGCACCCTGTATTCACTGGTTAACTGGTCATCATTAACTTAACACAGACTCTCTCACTGGTACATTTTCATCTTTAAATCACTTCTTGGTCTGCTGCCTTCATACATCTCCTCCTACATGAGTGCAGCTACAGCGTGCGCTCTCAGGACATTATTACCTGCAGTGTTCCCTCAGTGAGGACTGAACTAGACAAAAGGGTCTTCTCCTAATCCGCTCCTGTTTCCTGGAATATCTTGATAAAGATCTGAAGCTCTCGACCTTGACCTCTCCAAGTGGCTTCAAACATCTGTTCAGCTCATGGCAAAAAAACCCAACGCAGACATGTTCCTGTTTTTAGTATTTTACATCACTTTATAAAGTACTTTGAGTCCTCAAGGCTCAATGAGACTAACCTGTATAAATAAAAGTTGAATGAACATGATGGGCTGTGAAAAGTCTTAATGGACTTAGGCCTTTTCTTTAACCAATGCTTCTTTGCACAGAACTCAGCCGAGTTTTGCTAAATCTGAGTAACTAAAAGCAAAATAAACCCGCAGGATTGTTTTTTGCCTCTTGTTAAGTGAAAACAAACGAGCAGACCGGTGGAACTCAGAGTTCTCCTTGTCGCCCTGCAGGTTCTCCTCTGGCTCGCAGCACGGTGGTGACGGCCATAAAGTTTACTATCGTTGACCATCCAGCTCCCATAGACTCTCTGCTGAAGGACTGCATCGGTAAAACACACAACCACAGTTTTTTTTTTTTTTTAGTTTGCTTACGAGAACAAGCCTCCTGCGGGTTCTAACTGAAAACATGTTGTCACGTTTTATTAGGGGAAAACAGGCGTAACGGCCTCTAAACGTCAATTGTAGCTCCGCACAAAGAACAGCGCGTTTAAACTGAGCCCAGCCTCCTTTAGTTGCCAAATACTATTTATTTTCCACGCCGTTGGTTGTAAAATTAGTTTTGAAGTCTTGATTTGAGCTTTTGATTCAGAAATATTGATTTGAACATGAATCATAACTGACAGGCATGGAGGTTTGGATTCATCCTGCAGATCCTGATCAGCTGTCTGCAGCATCAGCTAAAAGAAACGAGAGTTATTTAACTGAATTACATCTGTTTAAGGGGAGTGGTGGTGCAGAGGTCAGAGAAGGTGGACCTGTGATCGGAAGGCCACCTGTTCAACTCCCGGTACCAACAACATTAAAATACGATTTATCATGGAGGTTTAAAATTTATAACGGGTTTAAAAGGTTTTACACATCATTGCACTTTAAACAACTGGGTTGAATGGACGGCAGTGGCACATTTGTATTTATAAGGCCATACTAGGACTTCTTCCTTCGTATTTGTTGGCCTTTATAAAGAGAAAGTCCACCAGAGGATACTCTCTTCGTTGTGAGAACTTTTTACTTTCGGTGCCTAAAGTCCGAACTGAACTTGGAAAAAAATCTTTTCAGTTTTCTGCTCCGTCTTCTTGGAACCAGTTGCAGAAATACATGAACCTAAAGGAGCTGTTGTCACTAAATGTTTTTAAGGCTGTTCTTGGTGATTTGGAGAAGGAATCATCTGTAAATGTTTTAATTGAGGAATCTTTTAATTAATGTGTTTAGGACGGAGTTAACTTTTTCTGTTTTTGCTGTGAACGTTCTGTAACTTCTGTGTGCTGCTGCCAGTCTAGGCCAGGATTCTCTTGCAAAAGAGATTTTTAATCTCAGTGGGATTTTCCTGGTGAAATAAAGGTTAAATAAAATAAAATAAAAATAAATGTGGGTGGGATAGGTGAAGCACCCACACCTGCCTCCACCCTCATTTGCGTGAACTTGCAGAGTTAATAAGAGAGGTTTTTAAACTTTATTATTATTTTTCATTTTATTTTGCTCCTCTTGGTGATAGAACAAGTGTTCCTTTGAGTCGGAGCTACACAAACACACAAATATTTCCTGCATTTCTCTGTCAGGTGACTTCCTGAAGACTCTGCATGATGGTGACATCAACGTGCGTCGTGTCGCCTTGGTCATGTTCAACTCTGCGGCCCATAATAAACCATCTCTGATCCGGGGACTTCTGGGAACAGTTCTGCCTCACCTTTACAAGGAAACTCGGATCAGGAAGGACCTGATCAGAGAAGTGTGTGGGCTGACGGAGAAGCTGCAGATCTTAACGACCTGTGCAGATTTGACACTTCTGTGCTCCAACAGGTGGAGATGGGGCCGTTCAAACACTCTGTGGACGACGGCTTGGACGTGCGGAAAGCTGCGTTTGAGTGCATGTACACTCTGCTGGACAGCTGCCTGGAGGGGCTGGATGTCCTGCAGTTTCTGGATCACGTAGAGGAAGGACTCAAGGACCACTATGATATCAGGGTGAGCAGAAAATACGACAAGAAATAGATTTACAGTAGTCCCTCGCTTCTTCGCGGTACGACTTTCGTGTTTTTTCAATGATTATCAACTTTAACATCACTCAAGTGATTGGGATGGTACAGATAAAAAGTAAAAAAAAAATATTTAGGACAGGCGCTGCCATTTTGTAGTTTTCTTTCAATAAGCCTATACCATAAGCAATCAAAAGAACTACGTTACCCATAAGCCAACAGTGCTTCCATCCACTGCTTTCTGCCAAATGGAGGGAAAGTTTTTTGCAAATGTATGCTATCTGTTAAGCTGACAGGACTGGCAGGAAAGTCACAAATAATCCTGAAGCTGAACTCATCCTTGAAGTTGTAATAGTATCTTCACTGGTGAGTACCTGGGCTGCAGTTGATCCAGACTCAGTGTGACCTGGATCCTGGGGGCTGCAGGAGACAGATAGCAGTGGGTTCAGTCTGCTTCTGGTTGCGCGGTGCTGGTCTGGACCGTGCCAAGGTGGTGGACTACATCATGGGCAGCCTTGCGCACGAGATGTCCTTCCTGGAGCAGCAGCATGTGCACATCAACCTGGACGGGGCGGTGGGCTTCGTCATGCTGCAGGGTAACTTAATGGAACCGAGATCGAACGAAACCGAGCTTCTCCAGAGCTGCTGAGCAGTACATATAGGTATGTTGTTAAAATTACGTAGATTTAAGAGTTTAGAATTACAAGAGTGTGGGAAGAGTTTATTTTCATTTTCTTCTTCTTGTGGCTTTTCCCTCTTCAGGGTCTCCACAGCAAGTCGTCCTCCTCCATCTCACTCTGTCCTCACTCCAACTACCTCCATGTCCTCTCTAACTGCATCCATATATCTCCTCTTTGTCTTTTTCCTGGCAGCTGCATTTCTAACATCCTTCTACCAATGTACCCACTGTCCCTCCTCTGGACATGTCCAAACCATCTCAGTCTGGCTTCTCTAACTTTTTCTCCCAGTTGTTCAACCTGTGCTGTACCTCTGATGATCTCACTCCTAATCTTATCCATCCTTGTCACTCCTATAAGGAGAACATAAACATCTTAATTTCTGCCACTTCCAGTTCTGTCTTCTGTCTTTTTATCTATGTCTCTGTCTCCAGACCATACAACATAGCTGCTCTCACCACTGTCTTGTAAACTTTGACCTTTGCTGACACCCTTTTTGTCACAAATCACTCCTGAAACTTTTCTCAATCCACTCCATCCTGGCTGGACTCTCTTCTTCACCTCCTTACCACACTCCCCATGTTCCTGGACAGTGGACCCCAAGTCCTTGAAGTCCTGCACCTTTGTCTGTTGCCTTCATACATCTCCTCCTACTTGTCTCTGCGTGAGTGCAGCTACAGCGTGCGCTCTCAGGACATTATTACCTGCAGTGTTCCCTCAATGAGGACTGAACTAGGCAAAAGGGCCTTCTCCTATTCCACTCCTGTTTCCTGGAACATCTTACAAAAAGATTTGAAGCTCTCGACCTTGACCTCTCTAAGTGTCTTTAAGAATCTGTTGGACACCTGGCAGGGTCCAATGCTGACATGTTCCTGTTTTTAGTTTTCTACATTTGTCTTGGAATCTAGCTGTTTTTTTTTTTTTTGTTACCTTTTCCTTTTAGCCATCCTATTTGTTAAAAAAAAAAAAAAAACCTGTAATATGCTTTTTTATAACTGTTTATTGTTGTTGCTGTTGTCCATTGTTGTCATCTTTCTTTGTTGAAATCAGGTCTCTCTTGTAAATGAGTCCTCGAGGCTCAATGGGATTTACCTGTAGAAATAAAGGTTGATTGATTTGTGACCTCTGCTCCTTGTAGCCTCACTGTTCCACCTCCTTCCTCTCATTCACACACATGCACTCTGTCTTACTAAGGCTGACTTTCATTCCTCTTCTTTCAAGTGCATACCTCCACCTCTCCAAGTTGTCTTCCACCTGTTCCCTGTTCTCACCACATAGCACAATGTCATCTGCAAACATCATAGTCCACGGGGGTTCTTGCCTGACCTCATCTGCTAGTCGGTCCATCACCAGAGCAAACAAAAAGGGGCTCAGAGCTGATCCTTGATGCACTCCCACCTCCACCTTGAAGCTGTCACTCCTACAGCACATCTCACCACTGTCCTGCTGTCCTCATACATGTCCTGTACCAGTCTAACTTACTTCTCTGCCACTCCAGATTTCTTTATGTAATGTGGGAAGGGTTTATAAAGCTTTAAAATATTAATACTAATATAAATATAGCGTTTCTACTTTGCGGTTTTTCACTTATTGCGGGGGTGTCCGGAACATAACCCCCATAATAATCGCGGGACTACTGTATTGAGAAAGACTTTGACTTTAGACCTGAGGGAGAACGTGACACAACCACAGTCCAAATCTGTGCCACGTCTTTTTAGTTTTCCTCTTGTCTCACGGTTGTGTCTTTGTCCTGTAGATGCTGACCTTCTTGATGTTGGCCAGACTGGTCTCTTTAAGTCCTGCTGCTGTTCTGCAAAGACTGGACAGACTGGTGGAGCCTCTTAAAGCCACCTGCACCACCAAAGTATAAACACTCGCACACACACACGAAAAATTGTGGATAGCCGTTTAATAATTTGCATTAAATGTTAGAAAGAAAACTGTATATCCTGCTAATTAAAAAGTAAACATGTAGACTTTATGGTTACTTCCAGTGGACTAAAACATGGTCTCTGTCCCCCCACCCTCTGCAGGTGAAGGCTGGCTCTGTGAAGCAGGAGTTTGAGAAGCAGGAGGAGCTGCGGCGCTCTGCCATGCGCGCTGTCGCCGCCCTGCTGGCGGTGCCGGAAGTGGAGAGGAGCCCCAGCATGGCCGAATTCGCCAACCAGATCCGATCCAACGCTGACATGGCGTCCATCTTCCAGAGTGTCCAGGGAGGGGACGGAGGGGGCTTAGGACCCACAGAGAGCATGGATATGAGCTAGACACTGGCTGGTTTTTATAGTTTTTATAAAGGTATGTTTAAAAACTACATATAAAGAAGCTCTGTGTTTTTGATTACATTTGTTATACAACACCTACCAACAAACGGGTTGTTTTGGTGTGAAAACGTCTTCTGTGACAACATATTTTTATTTTACATGTTCAAAAATGACTGAATGGACTTTAAGCTTATTTATTTGGATTTTGAAGTCTTTAAAGTAGGAAATTTAGTTCACATGTAATAAAGAGGAAGCAACATCGTGGACTCTTCAGACTGATTAATTTGTTTCTCAGGCTCGTTACCAGGGCTTCAAAAACTTTTAGTTTAGTAGTCCCAGACTACAAAGTAAAATGCTGTTTGAGCTGGTTTAACTCCAAGTCCCTCACACAGCTTTATCTTTAAATAGTTTAAATAAAATAGTCACAGATTTGGTCAGCTCTGTATTAAACAAAGCCAAGTGCAAGGAGGTGGATCAGAGCTACTCTGATGGATTATTTAATCTTCAGTTTAGTCACAAACAGGCAGGTTTAACTTCTGCTTGGTATTGTTTGTGAAACAGACGGTTTGGCAGCATGGAGTATTTAGAATATCTAAATGAAGACCAGAGCGAAGGCCAGCCAGAAGAGCACCTGTGGACGAGTTTGAACTTTTTAGATGAAATAACATTTTGAGACTGTTTTCGTATGTACAAAGAAAATGCCTTTGCTTGAGCGTAGACTTTTGCCTCTGATCAGAGGAAGGCCTGTACCAGTTCTCTCCAAGTTCTGATCACTGAGATTCTTGGCATCTGGAATCTTTCATGGTGAAACTGGTGGTTTGTGTGGTGCCAGTGAAGCAGCGGTGTGCAGTTTGTGAACTGAGACGTCTGTACATCAGATTCCCTGATGCTGCTGAGCCAACCAACGATAAAGTGTGGTTCTATGAATATGGACACTTCCCAGGAGTGATCGGCTGTATAGATGGATGTCAAGTTGCCATCAAGCGTCCATCTGACGCTTATATGAACTGTAAGAACTGGTTTTCCAGGACTCTACAATCTCAGACTAACTCAAACTAATTTAAGTCACGTTCAAGTGAGCTGCTTAAATGCCAACAAGTCCAGATTAGATCTACTGGCTTAACGACTGACAAAAAAATACAAAACTTTTTCACGATATTCTAATTTTCTGAGCTGCACCTGCGTTCTTGTTTCTTGTAGGAATAGCCTCTGGGTTTGAGCTCAGCTCAGAATATGAGTTTTATAAGGCTTTGACCTGTTGTCTCCTTTTAAACACTAACAGAAACAAGATGCTGTGTTGGTGCAATACTTGCCTATTTTATGACGGTCAAACTATTATGTTTTACATTTTTAATAGATGCAAATAAAGAAACGAGAACAAACTGTGATGTTTCAACATGAAATCCTTTTTGGTATTGTGCAGGAACAATTTATTTCACCTGGAGTAGATGGCTCTTCTGACAACATAAGCCTGGAGAAGATTGTTGCAAAATGGAGAAACTATGTGATTTTACACCAAGCTGTTTTAAAGTGTCTGAGAAATACAAGAACTAGAAAGCTCTACGAGAACAAAACGCCTTCAAACAGCACGTAAAAAAAAAAAAAATTACATTTACTCTACATGTATAACTGAAACAGAGGAAAAACAATAAATGAATTATGACATTACCATTAACATTACATGGCTATGATTAGTACGACAGAGCTTTAGAGCCACTATAAAAAAAAAAAAAATTAAAATAAGCCATAAAATTACGAGAAGAAAGTCGTACAAGACTTTTTTTTTTTTTTTAACAGCTGTCGTTAATTTTTTTCCCACGAGTCGGATCCGCGATGCGACCTGCCAGTCAATTCAGTGGGCGTGTCAGCAAATGACCAATGTTAATAAACAATACAATATATAAAGAATCTGTTTAATCTTTACTGTAGTTTAATACAAGATGTTAGCATGGTGCTATTTTCTTCTGCATTCATAGAAGGTGAAGGGAGAGCAGCGATGCCTCACACTGACCTCCAAACACCACCAGAAAGAGCTGAGTGTGCTGCGATCCTCCAACAACTAATAACACAAATCATTTTGTTTCCAACAGTCCTCTGCGGGTGTCTCGGCCCGTTGGACTTGAGCGGACACACGTCTTATTTCACGGAGCTCTAATGGCTTTTGGCTGATGTGTTTGGAGTGTGAGAACATCCACCATCTGCTCCAAACGAAACACAGAACAATGCTTCCATGGTGCGATTACGCTCCCTGGCTGTGTTTGCCGTCAGCAGGACGGTTGGCTAATCTGAAAAGAAAACAGAGATAAGATAGAAATTTCATACGGTTTGAGGTCTGCAGAGCAAAATCAAGAGCTCAAACGCACGCAGAGCTGATCGGTGCTTAGAAGACTCAGGCTGGGGTTGTTGTTTACAACCTGCTGGTGAGAAGAACATTTAGAAGGCTGAAAAAGTTACGAGGACCAGAGTCTGTATGGGTCACGTTGATTTCAGTGCAAACGATGAAATTAATGGTGCAGTTTGAGTTTACTCCGGTAGTTTTCCAGATATAATGATGTGCAATTCAGAAGCGTGGGCATGCACTCAATGCAAACAAAGCCTTTTTATCTGTTTACTCAACAAATCTGATCCAAAGCACTTACTAATACATCAAAGTTGTCTGAATCTTCATTCCACGTTTCCATGGATGTCGCCATTGTTGACGTGTTTTCAGTCATTTCAGCATAAACAATGCACGTTGTATTAATATTTTTATATGGATGCATTAATCATCAATGTAAGAAATGCGCAGATTTTGTTCCCTATTTCATGAATTATCTTTTGACTACTTGGTCTTTATGACTTTGTTGTAGCTCAAAGTTAAAGTGATATTTAGTTTTTGCTTTTTGTGTTTTCATTACTTCCCCAAAGCAAAACAAGTGGGTTGTTCAGTGCTAGACCTAACCAAACAATAATCACACACAAAAAAATATCATAAATGAGAAAAAAGTGAACAAAACAAAACAATTACATTTTCTGGAAACTTCTTTAACCACCTAAAAATGTAAACTCTTTAGTTTGTTGATAGGCCTATTGCGATAAACAATAAATCAATTAATTGCATGATAAATGAAAATTATTAACTTCATTTTCATTTATCGGCTTTCTCATTTCTTCTTGTCTCTCTCTTTCTACTGAAGACACTGGATGACAAAAAGTTCAACTCCGGTGCTCTTCACTGACCCCTCCCTTTCTCTTTAAAATCCATTTTAACGATCCGAAATCACATTTTTGGATCGTTAACAGCAGCTAAGCTGAGAAGCTAAGCTACGAGCTAAGCTAACAGGCCGACCTCAGGAACAAACCTCCGTCTTGTCGAAGCTCCAAAATTCACGGTTGAAACTCGTGCCTTCAAGTAAAAACTTGTTTTCCTCATCAAAAAGAAGCTGAGAACTTCTTTACTGATTGTTTATTAAAAGTTTTGTGTGAAAAATACTACGCTAAAGAGCTCAAACCACACTGAGCATCTGCCATTTTGAGAACTGAAGAGAGACAGCCCGTGTCATGTCAATGGGCCTCACTCCCATTTTTTTTTTTTTTAAAGAGACACAATCGCTCCCTCACTTGTGAACTCCTTTGGTTCAAACAGTCTTATACTGCCATCCAGTGGTTGGAAAATGGTACTAAATGCAAAACAAATAAAACATTTCTTCTTAAATTTGACAATAATTACTGATTGTCAAACTTCTATCAATATTATTGTTTATCGCAATAATTTCTGAGACAATTAATCGCCCAGCAAAATTTGTTATTGTGACAGGCCTATTTGTTGAAAAATATTTACCCATCGCTAACTTGTTTTTGCAACAATCTGGCCACATTTTTAAAAAGTCAAAAGAATAATGAAAATACTTTAAACACATTTTTAACCAAGCTCTTATTATGACAAATGATTTCATTGATTAAAACCTCACATTTATATATATATATATAATCACTTTTATTTTCCTGATTGTTGCTTTTTTCTTATGATGTTTCCAGTTTATTACTTCTGCATACTTTGTGCGCTCGTAGCGGTTCATATAGAGTTTTTGATTTGGTTTTATACATTTCAGAATATTTAACTTGCTTCACAAAGATTATCTCCCAGAGACGAACATCTCTTCAATCCCTTCCAAAACGACGTTCTATTTGAAATTTGCTTCAGCATGCTTCTTCTATTTTGTGTCTTTGCTTCGTTGTAGCTTTTAGCTGCTGTTCTGCTCATTTCAGCTCGTGTTCTGATCGCTGAAGAATACGTTCTCAGTAACTATATTCACATGGACATAAGTAACCGGATTAAACGGCCATTCGGAATAAAAATGTGTTATGTAAACGCCCTATTCAGATTATTCTTTGTTGATTCAGCTCGATCCGAATGAATTTGTAATCCGAATGAGACGGGTGGTTTATGCTGATTCATAATCCGAACGGTGTGCATGTAAACACTTAATCTGATCATTTTATTCTGATCATGGAAAACTGACCTGACTGTGCATGTGCGACCTGTCTACCTCACGTATTTTCACTTGGCTAGATGTTAGCATGTCGGGGGAGCAAAACTTGTCGGTGAGCGACAACATTTCTACTAGAAACTTTGAAAGAGCCTAAAATAATCTGTATTAGCTGTAGGTCAGTCAGGGAGTGCAGTAACGTCTCCTCCGTCATTAAAACCTGGCGCGGGTCCATTTTGGGCGCTCAGGTTTGTTTATGTTCATCCCAGAAGTAGAACTTCTTCTTCTTCTGTGTTTTTTAAGGAGAGTTTCCCACTCTGCACATGTCAGTACTTTTATTCTGAATAAAAGCCCGCTGCATATAAATTCTCACCCTGAACGGATTGAGCCCATGTAAACGATGCATTTGGATTATTTAATCCGAATACATTTTAATCTGCTTCCAATAATTTTGCGCATGTATAAACATACTGTAGCTACTGATTTCATTCTGCTGGATTTACCTTTAAAACCTCATCTTCAGCTTCAACAAAA